ATGGAACAACACATGAATTAAATAGGTTTCCTTATTTTCCATTGTTCCATTTGAATTAATGCATCATATTCAGTTAGATAGCTGTATCTGCCTAGTACTCAGCTTCTTGACTCCATATCTGATGTAGCAAGAATTGTAGATTTGTGCATGTAGCTGAAGTTCTCTATTCAGGAGTACAACATGTCATGTGTTTAAGAAATTCTCTGCTGCATCAGTAGAAGTGCGTTTTAGCCAATTTTGGTTCGTTTTTTAAAAAAGCTCCTCCAAGTCCATAGCACCAGCGGATTAACACTTCTGGCTAGACAATGGAAACATGGTAACTAAAGTTGCTGCAGTCTAGAATATCCAACCTCCTTTAAAAATCATCCAAGAGTAGGAAAATAAAAATAAATAGAATGATAATAATGACAAAAAGAACAAGACTTACCTGTCACAGACCATTTAAGTTGGAATGAGGATGATTTAGTATTTCTTGGTAAACCTACAAATCTGCTGTTCAGAGCTTTTTGTGTACATGCAATACACTCACTAAATTCTGGCACCTTCTTTATGCTAGAAATGTTTGACACCCCTTTGACTTGTGAATTTATATTTTGGAATTGAAGTCTAAACTAGCAAAAAGAACTACAATGCCACAATTCCAACCAAGTTAGGGTTGGCTACATTAATCCTCATTGACCATGTCGCTCCATTTAAACTTCTCAGGCAGTTCTCTTAAACTCTGCAAAAGTTATGTTAGATAGTTGTTAGTCTTTAATAGGCAAGTAACTGATCTTAGTATTCAGTTAAGTTTTTGGATCATTTGTGGCAGGGAGGGAGAAAGATTGTGATTGTGATTTATTTATTTGAATCAAAGAACTTCAATTTTTTTGATTCTCTGTAGCAAAATACGGTAAAAGCTTTTTATAGATGCACAGTAAACAGTTCTCATTTTTGCTTTCTCTCCTTGAAGAACTCCTGTAACATTTCATGTTGGCCAAGTCTCAGATTCTGGTCTGCGGCATTATATCATCATTAAGGTTGAACTCCTGAATGTGGTGTCGTACTGTGCTGGAAATGATTTATGTGACTAGCACCTTTTCCTGTACATACTTAGCAGCTTTTTTGCTGCTGATTATAAATAACACTTTTTTACTTTAACCTGATCAACAAATTAAAAGATGTTACTCTGCTCGTTTCTCTTTCTGTTCTCTATTTGGTGTTCATGCCTCTTAGTTGCTTGAAGATACATAGTTCTTTGTTACCATTGTTGTACTTATCATCTGCTTAAATGACATCAACCTAAAATACTAGGGATGAAGCCATACTTACTTCTCATGCACCTGGAAACTAGTAGGTATATATATCCAATCAATTGCATGTCATGTTATTGATATCTTTATTCCCTTCATTTGCCTTCATACTCTGACAAAACACGAAGCCCCGATGTTGAGTGCTTAAGCCGGAAGTATTGGAAGTTATACTTTCTAGTTTCTTAAAAGGGCTACTTCCCTAAAAAACTTATTCGAGCAGAGCCTTATTAGTCTCTCCTTGCAAAAATTAAAAAACAAAACATGCTGCTCTTGACAGTGGACCTAGTATTCCAGAAAATGGAGCTGTAGGTGAGGAGCAAGGTCAGATGGGACAGCAGCAGCCTCAGCAGCAACAGCTTGGACCCCAACGACAAATAGTTGTCAGAAGATTTCAAATTGCATTTCAGCTAGATCTCTTGCTTATTTTGAAGCTGGCTGCAGTGATTTTTTTGTTCAATCAAGATGGATCAAGACAGAGGCTTGTTCTGCTTGTGTTTTTAGCTTCACTTGTGTACCTGTAAGTATTTGTCAATTATGATCACTTCTATTTCCTTTTTATTTATTTATTTTATTTGTTGTGATGTGCGTTACTCAAGCCGAGGGTCTTTTCGAAACCGTCTCTCTACTTCCACAAGGTAGGGATAAGTCTGCGTACACTCTACCCTTCCCGGACCCCACTTATGGGACTACACTGAGTTGTTGCTTATTCATTTTATTAAATACTAACAATTTGGTCTTAGAAAGTTGTTGTGACAATTAAGAATTCTTTTGGACGCGTCAAGTTCTGCAACATAACCAATATCAATGAGAATGTGGATATACTAAAAGATAAACTAAAGTTTCCTTTTTCTATGGAAAAGAAAACAGCTAAGTTGTCCCTACATTTGTTTTGTTCTCCTAAATAGCATTCAGATCTTCAGTTGATTTTTATAGTTTATCACATCCCATTTCCTTGGTTTCCTTTCTTGGGCATAGTTCTTTTGGTGCATTTTGGTCTCCTTTTCCATTCTCTCTTTGCTCCATTGTGGAACACTAAAGTGAATTGTTCATTGTCTTGAAGGTGAACCCTCTAGCTTTTCTCCCGACCATTTATGCTTGTTTACTGTCCCCATTAGGTATGTTTGCGTACCACAGTAACCAACTTGAACAAGGGTGTGTTCGGTTTGAAGGAAAATGTTTTCTAGGAAAATACGTGGGTCCTACTAATTTTTCTTGTGTTTGGTAAGTAAGCAAAAAATATTATCCTAAAAGCCTTTGTATATAACTTAGACAAATACTATGGGAGGTGGGGTCGGGAGGTATGGGTGTGGGATGGGGGGAATGAGGGCTATGGGGTGGGAGTGAAGATGACGTGCATTTGGAGTGTAGGGAGGAAACAATCAATGTGGAATGTCACTAGTAGAGCTTGTTTTTCCTACTTCCATTAGGGAGCTTATTTTTCTCATTTTTAAGGAGCTGGTTTTCCTGGAGAAAGTGTATTCCAAAATATTTGACAGCCGAACATGGGAAAATTGGAATTAGTGCTAAAATGCCTCCATATTTTTCGTTTCTTAGTTTTTTCTAATGATAAAATCATATAATTTGCATTGTGGTTGAATTGCCTATGAAAGAGGGAGAACTTAGAGCCTGTTTGGATAGGCTTATAACTTAATGACTTATATTAGGAATCTTTAACTTACGACTTTTGGCTTATTTTTGTTCTTTGGCTTAAAAGCACTTCTTATCTTACCCAAAGACTACAAAAGTGCTTAAAACTATTTGGCGTAAAAGCACCTAAAAATAAGCCAATCCAAACAGGATCTTACGATTGTGTTCATTGAAATATGTCTTTTGTTTTTGCTTTGTCGTTAAGTCACGCCATATATTTCCTGTTGGTCATTGTAGATATCAAACTGGAGCTCTTACACCTTTGGTACGGTGGCTTTCACAAGGAATGCAGAGGGCTGCTGCACCTCCTCAACCACCTAGGCCAGCTGTCAGGGCAGATAATGTACCAGGTGCTGGAAGGCAAGGAAATGACAATGTTGCAGCTGGAGGTACTTCCGTTTAGCTTATGTCAATAAATAGATAAACACATCTTAGATGTACATGGGGACTGTGCCCTTGTTGTCCTGCCCAGCACCATCTTGGTGCATCACCCTTTACATTCTCTCAAAAGAAAGATATAACACATTGTAGGCTGGAGTACTGATAAACCGACACTTGGTGCCTTTCTTTTTGGGTAGGTTTCAGAATTTTAGTCCTCCTTTTATAAAACTAACCATGTCAATTTACCAACATCAACTGAATGTTGCTTTCATGTTGGTCTGGAATGTCAGCTGGGAAATGTGTGCATTCATAACGTAAGAGTTAATGTGGATACCGGAACATCTCTTAACTCTTCTTTGTCATATTGTTCTTGCAGAGGGACAACCTGGAGGTGAGAATGAAAATCTACTAGGTAACAACGTAAATAGGGTAGGTGAGAATGAGCAGGCAGTGGAACCCAGAGCTGCTGACGGTGGCAACCGCTGGTGGGGTATTGCAAAGGAGATCCAAATGATTGTCTTTGGCTTCATAACTTCCCTTCTTCCAGGTTTTCACAACATTGACTAGATTGTACAGATCAAGTAGCAGTTGCAGATAGCAAAGAGGGATGAAGAGAACTTTCCCTGTTTTCAAAATTTACAATAGCCAATATTCTGTTGCTACCATGTGTTTTGAGAGGACATCAAATGTATAACTTAAAGATTGTTTTCTCTTCTATTTGGTCATAACATAGATCTAAATGATGTTGTTGTTCTTAATATGATTGGCGAGGTTGTGTTTAATTAGTGAAAATAGTTGCTTAATCCTCTACTTATGTTATTAACTTGGGGTGGGCGTTTGGTATTTCGAAGTTTGGTTAACTTTGGTACGGGTTTGATTTGGCAATTCGGTTTTCGGTGATCTATGATCACTCCTATTTGTGATCACATTGTGGTGATTAAAACTTGCCAAATTTGTTCTCAGCGTTCTTGTAACTCACAAATGAAATATAGGCTGTGTTCGGTATGAAGGAAAATATTTTCTTCAATTTCTCATGTTCGGTTGGTCAAGTATCTTGGAAAACAAATTTTCTCTAAGAAAATGAGCTTCTTAGAAGTGAGGCTAATGACTTTACTAATGAAAGTATGGAAGATAAGTTGATCCAGTGATATTTCACATTGATTCATTGTGTTCTCTCACTCTCCAATACACTTCATCTTTACCTTCACCCCCATAGCCCTCATTCCCGCCATCCCCCACTCCTACCTCCCTGCACTCACCTTTCATAGTATTTGTGTAAAGTATATATAAATGCATTTAGAATAATATTTTTTGCTTAGCTACCGATCACATAAGAAACCCACTTATTTTCTTGGCATACATTTTCCGCGAAAAATATTTTCCTTTTTACTAAACGCACCCATAACTTCTTATCATAAAAACAATGAACTAGAAATCATATAATTTGATTAGTTTTAGGATTCCCACCCTCCTTGTACAGGAACTTTGCTTATTTTTGTACATGAATAGAGCAAGCATTTTTAATTGGTAGGATTTTAGTTATATGATAAATTATCAACATTATCTCAACTAATATTTTAGTGATTCTCTTGATTTTCAACTAATGACATAATAGTTCTTTTGGCAACAAATTCTATTACTAGTTTTTTTTATACTTCACCTACATCTTGCTATAGTCGTCTGAATTGCCTTGCAAGCGCTGCATCTATATGGTAAGCCTACTTCGCAAAAGCGTGTAAATAGAAGACCCTTTTTTTGGATTGTCTTGTTTTTTCAGGAAGAAAACCTTAGCACAAGGAGACAGAAATATGTATTTGTATAATGATGATTTCTAGGATAAAGTTTTTGTTTACAACTCAGGCTACTGTTATTGTTTTTATGAAGTCAACTCCCTTGATTTGTGATTTTAGTTCTCCTACATCTTTCTATTAATGTTTGTTTTCTTGGTATGTAACCAAAGCTTTAAGAAAGAATAATTAGTTTGTGTTGTAAAACAAGACTTAGATTGCTTTTCATTTGGAAAACTATGGGTTCCAGTCATGGAAAATCTTCAACTATGAGGGATCGATCAGTTGAAGGAACGGTATCCTCAGATGTAGTTGAGACATTTGTGGCAGAAGAAAAGGAAGAAATCCTTCACACCAGGAGATGGAAACTGAATCCAAGACTCAGCAGAGGAGTAACAAAAGGAATAGAAGGTGAACTAGTTGTTGCTGGATGGCCTATTTGGCTTGTTGCAGCTGCTGGTAATGCTTTAAATGGATGGCTTCCAAGAAGTATTGATACTTTAGACAAAATAGATAAAATTGGCCAGGGAACTTACAGTAATGTCTACATCGCTCGCGATTGTTTGCTCAATAAGCTTGTTGCTCTGAAGAAGGTTCGTTTTGACACATTTGATCCCGAGAGTGTCAAGTTTATGGCAAGAGAGATCATTATATTAAGAAGGCTTGGTGATCACCCGAATGTTATCAAATTGGAAGGTTTAGCCATCTCAAAAATGAAGTACAGTTTGTACCTTGTTTTTGAATGCATGGAATATGATCTCAAGGCAATTCAAGAACACAAAGGTGTCAAGTTTTCTGAACCTGAAATCAAATGTTACATGAACCAGCTGCTTAAAGGGCTTGATCACTGCCATAGCCATGGTATCTTGCATCGAGATGTAAAAACTTCTAACTTATTAGTTGATAAAGATGGTATCCTAAAACTTGCAGATTTTGGGTTGTCAACATTTTTTGATCCAGAACAAAGCAAGCCTTTAACTAGCAAAATTGTGACTCTCTGGTATCGGCCACCAGAACTTTTACTTGGATCAAATAGTTATGGAGTTGGAGTTGATTTATGGGGTGTTGGTTGTGTACTTGGTGAACTATTTACTGGCAAGCCTATTATGCCTGGTAAAACTGAAGTTGAGCAATTGCATAAAATCTTCAAGCTCTGTGGTTCTCCATCTGATGATTTTTGGAACAAATCCAAATTGCCTAATGCAAAGATATTTAAGCCAAAAGAGCCTTATAGACGGATTCTTTACACGACCTTCCATGATCTTCCTGCAGCTGCTGTAGGACTAATGGACACTTTACTTTCCTTAAAAGCTGAATATAGAGGGACAGCAGCTCTTGCTCTTCAGAATGAGTTTTTCACAACAGAACCATTTGCTTGTGATACCTCAAGTTTGCCACAATCCCCCCCCAGAGCAGAGATTTATGCAAAAATGACTGAAATCAAGAGGAGGGTCCGGAATTATGCACACGATAGAAGTGTAAGGGCAATTCCAGCAGCTGAAGCTAATGCGGAATTAAAGAGTAACATAGACCGAAGACAACTCCTTACCCATTCAAAAGCCCGGAATAGGCTTGAAAAAACAAATGAATATGTCTCAGGAGGTGTTCTAGATGAAGGAACAAACTCTTCTGAATGTTTTCAGGTGTCCAGCAGAAAAGAGGGCTCAGTGAATTATACTCAGAGAGAGATAAGGAAAGAACCAAACCATGATATCAAAGGAAAGAAGAAGTGGTCAGGTCCATTACTCAGAGAGCACGACAACATGATTCTTGGGAAGGAATCAACAGCTAAAGGGAATGACCATGACTCGAAGGGAAAGACAAATCTAGGTCCATCAACATCGACTAATGATCAAATATTTACTCTATTACCTGACAAATGGACCAATATGCAGGGCTTACCAAGAGAGCATAAGGCACGGATCCTAAAAGATGCTCAATTGGTGATGTCTGACAAGAAAAAAATGTCGGAAGGGGAAGGTAATAACTCCAACAAACTTATTGAACAATTGTTTCCTCCTGCAGAGTCAGATGGCCTTGATTTCCTGGAAGACAGCCAATTTTTTTGTCCACTTCCATTTACATCAAAACCAATTGATGTGGATCGAATAATTAGAGAGCACGACCGACAGATCCAAGAATCTGTTGAACGCGCCAAGCAACAGAAGAAACTAGCTAAAGCTCGGTATTGAGGTATGAAAACCAATACAAGCTGCTTGGATATTCACTTTTTTTACAGAAAAAAGTACATTCGGACCTGGTTCAATATAGTCTATTTCCAGAATGGGAAAGTGAAACTAATTATCCCGCTTACTGCAACAAGCACTCAGACTTTATAAAGGTCTGGTTAGCAATCAGAGACATAATGACTTTCTATGGCTCAGATACAATGATACAGTTATGCCTAACTATTTGCCAGGACTGTTGATCAGTAAGAGATTTTTGGTTGGAAATCCTTCTTGATTTTAGACTTCCTATATGAAATGTGTAATCTCATACAGTTAGCTTTTCTTGAAGTGCTCAATATTAAGTTGGTCTGGAAGTTGTTTTCATAAGTTTGTTTTTTGAAATTTCTTCTTTAAATCGTGGATCGCGATCTGCTGTCATACTTTGATTTTGTATACCCATTCCCTTTAATTTCTCGTGCAATGGCTTGCCTCGATAGATTCATTGATGCATCCCAGTAACTTGTAGCCCGACCGACCCCTTCGTCTGCTTTTCATAGTGTATATCTGTTGTGATAAGTATTAAAAATTCATCAGCAACATCCTTCTATAGTTTAAGCATTGCTGTCATTGTAAAACACTACTACGCACTGCCATGCTGCAACAAGTACTTAGACTTCACAAAAGTTGCCAATTTGTAACATCTTTGATCTGACCGTCTGTGCCTCAGATTGAATCTTTAACTTGATGCAATTGGTACAGAAAGAATGAAGCAAACATATAGAATCTTTAAACTTGATGCAATTGCCAATATAGAGTATGTTGTTGTACTGACCAACTTAATATCAGAAACCATTTGTCAAGAGAATATTTTCAGAAAAATACTTGTTTTTCTACACAAATATATTTCTCAAAAATTCTTTTCAACCTACCAAAGACAGTGCATCTTAAATGTACTCATCTAAGAAGTTCCTATACCAAACAAAACTCAGGTATTCTTACTCTCCCCGGTGAGCTACTATATAGAACCTTTTGTCTCTTTCACTAAATTATTCTTATTATTATATTTGTACCAAATTGATGATTTCTAGGACACTTCTTTGTTTACAAAGCCAACCATTATTGCTTTATGAAGTCAACTATCTACGAATGTTTGTTTTCTTGGTATCTAACCAAATCTTTAGGAAACTAGTTTTTTAAATTGGTTTTCATTTTGGAAACTATGGATTTCAGATACAGTAGAATATTTTCAACTATCCGAGATGAATCAGATGAAGGAACAAAAGCTTCAGATGTTGGAGTTGAGACATTTACGGCAGAAGAAATTTTTCATGCCAGGAGACGGAAACCGAATACAAGACTCAGCAGAGGAGTACCAAAAGGCATTAAAGGTGACCTAGTTGCTGCTGGATGGCCTAATTGGCTTGTTGCAGCTGCTGGTAATGCTTTAAATGGATGGCTTCCAAGAAGAGCTGATGCTTTTGAGTTTGTAGATTTGATTGGCCAGGGAGCTTACAGTAATGCATACAAGGCTCGAGATACTGTGCTTAATAAGGTTGTTGCTCTGAAGAAAGTTCGTTTGGACAATCTTGATCCTGAGAGTGTCATATCTTTATGGCGAGAGAGATCATCATATTGAGAAGGCCTTGTGATCACCCGAATGTTATCAAATTGGAAGGTGTAGTCACCTAGAAATTGTCCTGCAGTTTGTACCTTGTTTTTGATTGCATGGAATATGATCTCAAGGCAATTCAAGAACACAAAGGTCTCAAGTTTTCTGAACCTGAAATCAAATGTTACATGAACCAGCTGCTTAAAGGGCTTAATCACTGCCATAGCTGTGGTATCTTGCATCAAGATATAAAGACTTCTAACCTGCTAATTAGTTAACAAATAAGGTATCCTGAAAATTGCAGATTTTGGGTTGTCAACATTTTTTGATCCAGAACAAAGCATTCCCTTGACTAGCAATATTGTGACTCTCTGGTATCGGCCACCGGAACTTTTGCTTGGATCAAATTGTTATGGAGTTGGAGTTGATTTATGGGGTGTTGGTTGTGTACTTGGTGAACTATTTACTGGCAAGCCTATTATGCCTGGTAAAACTGAAGTTGAGCAACTGCATAAAGTCTTAAAGCTCTGTGGTTCTCCATCTGATGATTTTTGGCAAAAACCCAAATTGCCTAATGCAAAGATATTTAAGCCAATAGAGCCTTATAGGAGGAATCTCGAGGCGACCTTTCATGATGTTCCTGCTGCTGCTGTTAGACTAATGGACACTTTAATTTCCATAGAAGCTGAATATAGAGGGACTGCAGCTCTTGCTCTTAAGAGTGAGTTTTTCACAACAGAACCATTTGCTTGTGATGCCTCAAGTTTGCCACAATGTCCCCCCTGCAGAGAGATCAGTGCACAATTTTATGCAAAAAAGACAGAAATCATGGGAAGAAGGGACCAACAGTATGTACGCAATAGGATAAGGGCAATTCAAGTAGATGAAGCTAATGCACCATTGGAGAGAAACATGGACAGAAGACGACTCCTTCCCCTTGCAAAATCCCGGAATAAGCTTGATAAAAAAAATGAATATGTAACAGGAGGTGTTCTAAAAGAAGGAACAAACTCTTCTGCATTTTTTCAGGTGTCCAGCAGAAAAGAACCAATTCATGATGACCATGATAGCAAGGGAAAGAAGAAGTGATCAGGTCCACTACATGCTCCATCAGATAAAATGCAGGATTTAATCCTCAATGCTGTTACACCTGTGAGGCTTGAAAAGGGATCAACAGCTAAGGGGAATGACAATGACCAAATATCTACTCTTTTACCTGCGAAAGGGACCAGTAGGCAGGGCATACCAAGAGAGCACGAGGCACGGATCCTAAAAGATGTGCAATGGGTGATGTCTGAAAAGGAAAAAATAGCAAAAGGGGAAGGCAATAACTCAAAGGTAAAGAACCAACTTATTGAACCTGCAGAATCAAATGGCCATGACTTCCTGGAAGACAACCAATATTTTGGTCCACTTCCATCTGAATTAAAACCAATGGATGTGGATAGAATACTTAGAGCGCACGACCAACAGGTCCAAGAATCTGTTGAACGCACCAATCAACAGAAAAAACTAGTTAAAGCTCGGTTTTGAGGCATGAAAACCAACATAAGCTGTTTGGATAACCACTGTTTTCTACAGAGAAAAAGTCTAGAATGGGAAGGTGAAACTAGCTATCCCGCTTACCATACTGCATGCAACAAGTACTCAGACTTTATAAAAGTTACCAATTAGTGACATGCGACCTTCTGATCCTCATTTTGTATCTAGATGCAATGATACATGAATGATTAAGCATTGGAGAGAGGTGATTAGACAAGACATGACACAACTTCAACTTACCTAAGACATGATCACTTCAGATGGGAGGTTGTGGCGTGCAAACAGTGTATTGTCTGGTTACCCATCCTTACTAACAATTGCAGTATTGCTCCTGTAGTTTTTTGTCCTTTGAAATTTGTTACTACCGGTTGTTTTTTTGTACTTAGACTACTATTTAAGTTTGTTGTAGTTATTGTCATGTAACTATTTATTTATTTGTTACTATTTGATATTTCTTGTACTTGTGTTACTTCTTTTTTTTGGACTGCATTGGACGATTTTTCCTTGAGCTGAGGGTCTATCGGAAACACCCTCTCTACCCGTGAGGTAAAGTTAAGGTATGTGCATACTCCTCCTCAAATCCTACTTTGTGGCATATTAGTGAGCAAGTTGTTGTTGTGGTTTTTTAACAAAGACAACTAATAATTATTTTGACAGCAATAAGGAATTAAATGGACTCTATTACTTCTTTTGAAATATTCCAGCTACTAAATGAAAAAGAAGAAGAAGAAGATTAAGAGCCCATTTGACTTAGCTGAATTATAGGGATAAAAAAAACTTGCCAAATTAGGAGCTTGAACAAAAACTGTGTATCCTAGTTCCTACTAGGGAACTTGTTATCTAGTGCTGACCAATTTTATAAACTCAAATAAATTTAAAGACTATATGATAAACTACCATAAATCTCTAATAAATATTTTTCAAAAATAAATAAATCACCTGACCAATTTAGTAGAGGACGCGTACCAGTAGGTTAGTAGGTAGTGGAGAGTTGTTTTGCTTTTTGAGGGTATGAAAACCAATACAAGCTGCTTGGATATTCACTCTTTTTACAGGAAAAAGTCCATTCAGGCTTGGATCAATATAGTCTATTTCTAGAACGGGAAGTTGAAACTAATTATCCCAGTTGCCATACTGCGACAAGTACTCGGACTTTATAAAGGTTACCAATGAGAGACATGTGACTTTGTATACCTCAGATTGTACCTAAATACAATGATACAGGAACAATGAAGCAAATGTACAAGTGTATTTTTACTGGTACAGGAATAATAATCTTTATCCCAATGTGGCCTTGTTTTAGTATTAGTGTTGTCCCTCACTTGGACAATCATGCTCCCTTGTTGGATTATTTGACTATTGATGTAAACTCATTCCAGTTCTTTTTGAGATAGTTGATGATCCAATGGGGGAGCAAAGTCTATTGAAATGACAAAGAAAGTAAATAGTTCAACTTTTGATGTGATAAGTTTGATCACAAGTGCTTTTGTTTAACCATCCACTGTCAGAAACTCACTTGTCTTCCTGTTACTCTTCTCACACAAAAATAGTCATTTCCAGACCTGGATAGACGCATAGTTTATTTGAAGGAAAAAAACTAAAGGGGGAAGGGGGGTGTTAGTTTTCAGAGAAGGAAAAACATAACAATCTGGTTTTATTTTGTTATTGAACAAGTAGGAACATTAGTTTGATAAACCAACAAAGAAAAAATTTATGAAAGCAAAACTACTAACTTCATTATAAAACAGAGATTTATAGAGTTTACAAGTAAACCAACTCCTAAGGATAAGATTAAAAAACTAAGGATAAGATA